TCGTCCTTCTCGTGACGTCCCGCCTCGTCGTCCCCGCCAAGTCCGGGCGAATGGGCATCCTCACGGCCCGGCACGGGAGAAACGAAACAATAGCGGTGTGCGCTGTGTGTGTGTATGTGTGTATGAGAGATAGAGAGAGAGAGACAGAGGATGATGATTCAAGGGAAGCTCCGGTTGGCCAGCCGCTGGGTATAATTTTGTTCTCCCTTTCTCTCTCTACAACAGTGAGTCACTTGACCACTTGGCCACTGACTCCTCCTTCTGGAGGCCCCCTCGCCCAGGTCGCCCCCGGCTGTACACGATCCCGCTGCTGGCGACCGTATGACCTCCCTGGCAGCCCAACCGTGGCCCCCCTGAGAGCGCTTGACTCGACGGCGCGGCCCAGGGGTGTTGTTAGGCTAGGTTGGACGCGCCCGGGGAGCTTGATCCGCTGGCAGATGCTTCTCCCCCCCCCCCCCCCCCTTCCTCTCCCCTAGAAACCCACGACCAAGACCAAACCCAGGCCCCTTGTCCCCCATAGGCCTCCGGGGGTACAGGGAAACACAAAGAACAAAGAGAGAGGGTGGAGAGCGCGCTGAGGTGGAGATGAAGACGCACACCAGGCAGGGGAGATAGCTTCCCCTCCCCCCCTCCCCCCCTTCCCCCCGGACGGCGGGGCGGAGACGAAGGGTGAGGTCGTGTTCTGGTTCCCTGACACCCTTCCCTCCAGATGACCTGCTTTCCCACAGTTGATTAGGGGGGAAGGACCCGGGCTCCACGTGTGCAAGATCGCGAGCCGGGGGGAGGCTTCTAGTGCTTCTTCCGGGTGGGCGGTTCTGGGTCCGCGGGCGGGGTGGCCATGTTACAGAGCAGAAGGGGGGGCTGTGCGCACCTACCTAGGTACGGTAGAGGTTCCCCGGCGGCGTGGTGCAGCGGTGAGATTTCTTGGTGGGAGGTTTGTGGTGATGATGGGGGTGGGGATGGTACGATTCGGCGGAACGAGTAGCGGCCCAAGAGGGGCGCAAAACGGTCGCGACGGAAGACGAAGACGATCATCAATCAGTATCCGGCTGTGATCAAAGCTGTGGGAGTCGATTGAATCTGTCGAGGCGCTGTTTGTTTCAAAGGGCCGAAAGTGAGCCTCTCAGCATGGCGTCACATATCTAGGTGAGGTGACCACGCGAGGCAGATGCGTCGAGTGGTGATTTTGCTTTGCCGGGGGTTCCATTAATTCACTCAGTACATTGTTTTTAACTATATTCTTGCTTTAAACAGGATTATTATTGTTGAGCTGGATGTGTATTTCTAGCACAGCTAACCCCCCCCCCCCCCCCCCCGAAAAAAGAAATCAGGTCAATTTACAGTGGTCACCGCCCTGGAAATATGACTTCGTTCAGCGACAATGACACTGCGAGTGAGTGCAAAAGTTAAAGTGACCACAGCAGGGCTCGAACCTGCAATCTCCTGATTCGTAGTCAGACGCCTTGCCATTGGGCCATGCGGCCGTTGTTGAAAAGTGAGATTTTAAGATACCTGATGACTCACTGGAAACACTCACTAGAATGGCAAGGCTCCTTGATAACTTTCCTCTCCTGATGTAGTGAACCAGTCTCCTACGATCAGGATAAGCCAGTGGTGCCGGCGTCTTCTCACTAGTCATTTCATCAAGTTGTAGACCAGTGGTTGTGAATAGTAGAGAGTGTCAAGCTGTAGGCTGCCCAACGGTTCGCTATATCGTTCAGCTATAGCCATGCAGTGATAAGAGTACTCGTCTGAAGGCATGAAGAAGCATACACCTCAAGTCTGCCATGAATGAGAGATATGAGTTGATCCTTATGCTGAATGTTCGCTGGCGATGACAAGGTCTTTGGGCGAATAGGGGTCTTTGCTATGATTGGCTTACAGCCATTGACAGGTGGGACGGTCGAATTTCCTGACGTCTCTGATACGCTGATACCGCCCGATAACGATTTTTTCTGGCGATTGGCGACTGGCGACTGGCTTCTCTTGCGCCGCAAGTACGAAGCAGAATCGCCCCTTCCACGACCGACACCTTTCTTCAACTACCATCACCCATCCTAGCCACAGACAAGACCGGCTCTTTCGATCCCTATCCATCTTCATTCTCTCCCTTGTTCAACCCTTTGTTTCTTCGGTATCTTGTTTAATATCCTCCACGCCCCCTTTCGCAGACATGCTGAGGCAAGGTCTCCGCCGCTGCGTGCAGCTGCGCGGCGCGTCCATCGCGTCTTCTTTGGCCACCCGCCAGCAACCTTCACTCCTTCAGTCCATCGAGCGCACCTCGAGGACATCACTACTCCGGACCACCACATATCTCAACTCCCCCATCACCCGATGGTACTCCGCTGAGGCTGAGGCTGCGGCCGAGGCTGCGGCCGAGCCCGAACAGTCCCCCGACGCCAATGACAAGCCCACCCGCTTCGACGACCTCCCATCGCTCGGCGTCCACCCCAATCTCGTCAAGAACATCACCCACGGTATGGGCTACGAGAGCATGTCCGACGTGCAGACCCAGACCATCACCCCGGCGTTGAAGGGCACCGACCTGTGAGCATTCCCTCATCTCCTCCTCCTCCCCCTGCTCCGCCCCCTTTTCTCCGGCCATCGCAACATGCTAACCGTGCCTCCAAAGCGTTGCGCAAGCAAGAACGGGTACCGGCAAGACGCTCGGCTTCCTCATCCCCGTCTTGCAGAGGATGCTGCAAGAAGATCCTTCCCTCGCCACCCGCAGCGCACGATACGATGCCCGTTCTGACGATATCCGTGGCATTGTTCTCTCCCCGACGCGCGAGCTTGCCGAGCAGATTGCCGTCGAGGCCGAAAAGCTGACGCGGGGCACCGGCCTCGTCGTGCAAAGGGCTGTTGGTGGCACGCAAAAGTCGGAGATGCTGCGGAGGTGCAAGCGCGAGGGGTGCCATCTCCTCGTCGCCACCCCCGGCCGCCTGAACGACCTTCTCGAGGATCCCCGCAGCGGTATCGCCGCCCCGAACCTGGCCGCCATTGTCCTCGACGAGGCCGACCGTATGCTCGATGTCGGTTTCAAGACGGAGCTGCAGGAGATCGTCGACAAGCTGCCCGACGTCCGTGACAAGCCCCGCCAGACCCTGCTCTTCTCTGCCACCATCCCCAAGGACGTCGTCCAGCTCGCTCGTGAGTGGGTGCGCCCTGACAACTTTGACTTCATCCAAACCGTGAGCCAGGGTGAGGCCCTGACCCACGAGCGCGTCAAGCAACACCTCGTTCCTTGCCGCGGCTGGGGCAACGTCTTCCCTGCCTTGTTCGAGGTCATTGAGAAGGAGTCTGCGAACCGCCGCGCCAACCCCGATCTTCCCCCCTTTAAGGCCATGGTCTTTTTGCCCTCTACCGCCATGGTTGATCTCGCCGCCGATGCCTTCAACGCTGGATTCCGCCAGTCGACTGGCCTCTTCAACCTCCGCATCCACTCCAAGCTCACCCAGCAGGGCCGCACCAGGGCAGCCGACCGTTTCCGTGAGCTCAACTCTGGTATCTTGTTCTCCTCTGATGTCACCGCACGTGGCATGGACTTCCCCAACGTCACCCACGTCATCCAGGCTGGTCCCCCCAGCGACCGCGAGCACTACATCCACCGCATCGGTCGTACCGCCCGTCAGGGCAAGGAGGGCGAGGGCTGGTTGATCATCAGCCAGACCGACATAGGGACCGCCCGCCACGAGCTCGGCGGTTTGCCTATCGAGCCCAACCGCACCATTGTCTCCGCCGAGGTCGATCTCACTGCTGCGACGGAGGACCAGGAACGCACCCCCGTCTTCGACACCACCATGGACGCCCTGAAGCGTGTCCCTCGCAGCAGCCTCGCCGCGACCTACATGTCTCTCTTCGCCCGCGTCACCCGCCAAAACGTGCGTGATCGTGTTGAGGAGCTCAAGGAGTGGTTCGTCAACGGCATTGGTCTGGAGAACACCCCTGCCATGTCGCCCAAGACAGCCGACAAGCTCGGTCTCCGCAGGGTTGAGGGCCTCAACATTGGCTACGACGACGATTTTGTCAACGACGGCAGCTCTGCTCGCGATTCCCGTGGTGGCGGTGGCGGCGGCTTTGGCGGTCGCGGCTTCGGCGGTCGCGACGGTGGTCGCGGAGGCTTTGGCGGTCGCGACGGTGGTCGCGGAGGCTTCGCCGGCCGTGATGGCGGCCGTGACGGTGGCCGCAACTCCAGCGACCCCTTCTCCAACATGCTGGAGAGCAGCGAGGGTGACAGGCGCGGCGGTCGCAGTGGCGGCTTCGGCGGCCGTAGCGGCGGCGGCGGTTTCGGTGGTCGCGGCGGCGGCGGCGGCGGCAGTTTCGGTGGACGTGGCCGTGGCGGCGACCGTAGCGGCGGTCGCGGCGGTGATCGTGGAGGCTACGGCGGCGGCCGTGAGCGTGCCTCGTTTTAAAAGGTGACTGCACAGGACGCGTAAGACGAGGTCCAGAGAGGGCCGCATTGATACCACCAGCTTTCTGTCATATGTATTTATAATATCCATGTACAACGGCGCACGGCAAGGACCAGTGCGGAAAGAGTCCAGGTATATGGATTGGGGTCTGCAGGAAAACAAAAAGCTTGCGTAGACTCAATTGGAGGCGGACTGATGATGGTCACGGCTGTATAGCATATCTGTAATTTTAGAACAGGCGAGCTCTGGAATCCCAACTTCAGCAGACATGATGTCACATACATCGTTCCGACGCTGGTCAGGCCCAGTGTGTACTTTTGACCTGTCTTCTATTGATATGATATTCGGTGCAAGAATGGCAAGTGATGTTAGATTCTCAGCCTCTCACATGGGTTTACCATGCGGACTCGTTAGTAAAGGTAGGGGTGGCCGTGCCACTTGGGGCAGCTCAGCCAGCTACTACCCGAAAATACAATTTCATGCCGCCTGGCCCATGCATAGTTGACGTCTTGACACTGCATCCCGCTCAACGCGCCTCAACGCGCCTCAACGCGCCTCCTCATCCATCTTGTCCCGCCATGCCCCTTTTCACAGCAGCATGTTCGCATCCCACAGCAAGACCCTCTCATCCCAGCCCGCGGAAGCGACCCACCCCCCGGCCCCAAATAGGCACCAGTCGACGCCCGTCGCGAACTCGGTATGCCTGTTCATGATGCCAATCTGCCGCCCGATCCTCGGGCCCTCCATGGCCTGCGGCTGGGCCGAGCCGTCGTTCCACAGCCGCACCGTCATGTCGTAGCTGGCGCTCAGCAGCACGTCGGCGGCGTGCGGGCTCCACGCCAGCCTGCGGACGGCGTACTCGTGGCCCGGCATGACGGAGACGGGGCCGGCGTCGGGGTTGCGAATGTCAAAGGTGCGGATGACGCGATCGACGCCCGCCGTCGCGATGACCGTGTCGCGGTACTTGTTCCAGTCGTGCGTCAGGATCTCGGCGGGCTGGCCCGAGGGCACGCCCGGCGGCGGCGGCCCCGGCGTGGGGCTCGTGTGGACGGGTATGACGGAGGTGAGGTGGTAGCGCGCCGAGGCGGGCGTTCGGAGGTCGAAGATGCGGATCTGCGAGTCGGAGGAGACGGCCGAGATGATGCTGGGGTTCGAGGGCTGGAAGGCCGTGCTGTACGTGCACGAGCCGATGGGCAGGGTGCGTAGCGAGTCTTGACGGGTGGGCGACCACTGTTGCGCGAGGGTTGTACGTGTCAGCCGGATGCTGCTGGGGTCATGGCCACCAAGCTCGCGAGCAGGCGTCTTGGCTTACCAGCTTGATGGAGCCGTCCCATGAGCTCGAGACAAAGGTGTCCTTGGTGATGGGGTTCCATGACACGGAGAATGTTTCCCTCTTGTGTTCGTGGAAGTTCATGACGGGAAAGTCCTTGACGCCGACGTCGAAGAGCTTGATTGACCCATCACCGCAGGCCACGATAAGCTGGTTCTCGTTGATCTCAGACCAGGCAAGGTCGTATTGGGCATCGTTCGTGTCGTAGCTGTTGCAACTCGTCAGTCGACTGTGGTGACCCCTGAAGAACGTCTTTCCGGGTCTCTCACGTCCGTTCAACCTCTATGCCCCGTGCCGTAAGCCCCAGCGCAAAGACGCGCCCGTTGCCGACGATGCCATAATTTGCCGACGTTGCGACAGCGAGGCGCGAGTCGTTGTAGGGCGAATACTTGACAGCATAGGGATTGAACCCTTGCGTCCGAAATTCCAGCATCGACATGGTTTTCGAGAAGAGCTGCCTGCCTGCCTGCCTTTGCCCAAGGCGCGCCGGGGAATTGGGTCGAGGGTTGGGGTCAGAAGGCCGTCGGGGCACGGCAGTAGGAGGATTCGGCCGTGATGTCACGGTCAGATGGAGGGACCTCGGTTGACCGGCGCATATGACAAGGCGATGCACCTTTGGAGGGGCTGTCGCAGACCCCGCGTCACGTGTTCTCGTGGTTACTTCGCGAGCGTGGGGCCTCTTCACATGTCCAAAGCGGGGCCTCGATAGATGCACCCACGCCCTGTCCACGACGAGAACGACATTTGGGACTCGATCAGCGGTGTTACCAGCGTCATCCCAACCAGCAGCATGATTGTTCTCTGTTCTCTGTTCTTACAATAACTATGGACGCCTTTATTGTCAGACAGAAGCGCAAACTCAGTCCTCCTCCTCAGGACTTGCCACCTAGGCGTGACGATGATGATGACGAACCAACAGATCTCAAACTGGCACTGCTGTCGTCGCTACATCCCAGTCTTGACCAGGACACGCTCCTAGAATTTCTTCTGGCCCACAACGGCTCGGTCATGGAAGCCTCGGCGGCATTGAAGGTGCCACGAGCCCAGAGGAAAGCCAGCGGCGTCATGGGCGCCCAAAGCTCCCTGAAACACTTTGCCGTCGGTGCCCAAGACGACGATGGCAGCCAGCCTTTGAAGAAGAAGCTCATATCCAGAAAGGGTGCTACTCTGCACCTGTATGATCCAAAAGACATTGCAGAGCACACACCATGCACCATCATTCACAACTTCCTGCCTCCCGATGAAGCGAATAGTCTTCTTGCCGAGTTGCTCGAGGAGTCCAAGTCCTTCGAGAAGATCACCTTTCAGCTTTTCGACACCGTGGTCGCGAGTCCGCACACTTCTAGCTTCTACGTCGAAAGCTATGACGAACTGCGAGCGCAGAAGACAGAGTTCCTCTACAACGGCGCCAGACTCACCGATGTGCGTCGCATCACACCCCAGCTTGCCCTCGTCAAGCCCAAGGTCCAGGACGCTGTGAACCGCGAGATGCAAACGAGAATCAGGACAAGGTATCCCGGCGGCAAGAAATTGCGCTATCAGTCTCCCAAACCTTGGGTGCCCAACTCAGCCTTCGTCAACTGCTACAATGGTCCCCAACAAAACGTCGGCTGGCACAGCGACCAGCTCACTTACCTCGGCCCCCGTGCCGTCATCGGCTCCATATCTCTTGGCGTGGCTCGAGAGTTCAGAGTACGCAAGATTGTCCCCAGAGATGCCGACAACGTCTCGGAAGACCCCGATGCAGAAGGCCAGGTCGCGATTCATCTTCCGCACAATTCGCTCCTCGTCATGCATGCCGAGATGCAAGAGGAGTGGAAGCACAGCATTGCGCCGGCACAGTCCATCGATCCGCATCCCATCGCTGGTAACCGGCGGATCAACATTACATACCGAGACTACAAGGCCAACATGCATCCCAACTCGACACCCAAGTGTGACTGTCGCATTCCATGTATTCTTCGTGTGGTCCAGAGAAAGAAGGAAAACCACGGAAAGTACTTCTGGATGTGCCATGGCGGCAACGTTCCCGGCAAGGAGGGATGCTCGTTCTTTCAGTGGGCCCGATTCGATGACGATGGGAATCCGCTGTGTAAGCCAGGTGCGTAGAAGTGTCTCTGGTACCGATGGTTGACTATCGACACAAGATTGTCAGCCGGACGGGCGCTCGTTACTTCGCTACAAGAGATAGCATCTCACTTCCGAAAGCGCGTCTTCCGAGGAGAAACAGCCACAAGCATCCAAAAGGTGTCGCAGGACAGGCGCTGCTGAGGCACCTGCCCCCTTCAACAGATGGGAACATGTGTTGGAATATCTGCCCAGCAAACCAGAGCACAAATTTGGAGGCTCACAAACGATGTGTCCCTTCAATGCCTTGACTTGGCCACGCTGCTCATGATTGCCAGGGATCCTATCAAAGCAGCACCAGGAACAATGCATCATTATTCAAAAACAGGCGTTTGCTCCGGGAAGAACGTTGCTAGGCAAAAGGTGCACACCTACTTCCTGGCATCAACTCCTCGTGTCATTCTACTTGACCTTAAGGGTTTACATATGCTGGCGGCGCCTCGGCCCCCTTGATCCGCGTGATCTTGCCTCGAAGAGCATCAAGATCCAGACCCTCGATCACCCGCAGGTTGACGGGATGCCGCGCCTTACCCCCTTCAAAGTACGCACGCTCCTCGCCAGACATGGCAGCGAGCTCTTCCTCCGACTTTTCGGCGGCAAAGTTGGTCATGTGTACGCTGCATATGCGGCAAAACATTTTGCCCATGTTTTTCTTGCCAAACTCGTAGCGCGAGATGTTCTTCTCGTCGCCGAAAAGAACCACTTGTTCGCGCATCGGCCACACCCAGATGTACGCATTCTGGAAACATATGTAAGCCGTCCCTCTCGAGATGCCCCATTTCAGGAGTAAAGGGAAGATTCGGGGAAGTTTCTAACCCTTTCGCAGATACTGCAGTTACATTCGCCAAGGCCGTCAGGAAAGTTCTCGTCGAGAGGCTTGCTCGCGAGCGCGACCTGCACGGCGCCACAGTGGCAACTGCCTGTGTACAGCTTGCCCCCGTCTACCATCTCCGGCAGCGGGCCATCGTACGTTCGGGGTGCGGGCTTGGGATCACTCGATGCGCCATCAAAGCTGCAAGTCTGCGTCAGCATCCCTCTCCGTCGGAGGACCCCCCCACCGCAGAACGGGCACGCACCGCTTCTTCTCCAGCGCCCAGGTATCCACCCCCTGCAGCACGTGTACATTCAACGCCATGATGGAGGCGTCGCTCTTGACGCTCATGATGACGGCCGTGCCGCAGGTGGCGCAAAACTTGTGCTCGTACTTCTTGGCCCCGAACTCGTACACCGCTAGGTCGTCCTCGTTGCCTTTGACGATGCGGAAGACATCGCGGCTGATAGGGAAGTCCCCAATGTACCCCTTCCGGCGACAGATGCTGCAGTTGCACTCGGTGACGGAGGTGAGGACGGGAAGGTCGACCTCAAAGACAAATGCACCGCAGTGGCAATTGCCGCGGTAGGTGGTGAGATCAGCCATGTCGTTCACTTGATCGTTTCAGCGGAGGGGGGGAGGGCGTTGAACGATGCAGAGGTACGCGTCGAGACAATGGTCAGGACGGGGGAGGGGCAGGCTGCCGTATAAGTAGCCCAGGCTGCAGCTTTTTGTTGCACAATGTCTTGTGATTACCCCGAGACAGATGACCCGAACACGCAACAAGGATCCAATGCTGTGTTGTCAGTGGATGACAGTGTGTGTGATGCTGCGCTGGATGAAGAAAACTCGAACATGGACAGGATGAAGAAATGGCGTTGTAAGGGTAGAGATGGCCAGTTTCAAACACTGTCTGCCTGTAAGTGCTGTTTTTTGGTATTGTATTGATCAATGAGAAATAAAACGTATCCCCACCCAGAGCATCGATGCGAAGCGGGACTATGCGTAGTCCATGCCAACTGCAGGGAGCGTGCTATCCGTCATGATTCCGTTATAAGTCTCCGAGCAGTCGTCTGAGTTGAGTCTGGCGATCGGCGTAAGCTGCGGGCAGGACCGGACAGATCCCGAAGGCGATGCCAAAAGTCTCCGGCGGCTTCCCCACCTGTACCGAGGCCAACGCTTTCCAAAGTCGGTTCTCAATGCACGTGTACTGGAGATGGACTGGAGTGCCTGTCGAACCAGTCAAGCCATGAGTCTCTTGAGTATCAATTTGAATTACTTGTATCCAATTGCATTATTTGTATTCAATTGAGAAGGCTCCAATGAGCTCCAGGAGGGATCTTACTGAAGCCAACTATTCCGAGGTATCAAATGCGAGCTGCATCCGCACAGCAGCCCTTGCAACATCATGTATGCGTACATTCCATCCTTCACATACGCCCTTGAACCCTTGGACGCTCCCAAAGAAATATCCCAAGACTATCGACGCCCAGAACACTGCGCCTATATACCAAAAGATTCGCTCCAAAACGCTGCTTCACCTCCAGTCAACTGGCCAGGGTCGTGCGCGCAGCCTAGTAGTCCCGACTTCTCCTCCGATCCTCATACGCTCCGCTCTCTCTCCGGCTGTGTCTGCGGCTCCTCCTCGGCGGCGTGTGCTCCTCAATGACAACAACCTCGTCATCGTCGTCATCGACTACCCGCGGCGGAGGCGGCGCCCTGCTGACCGATCGCGTCCTCTCCCGCATGGGAACGGGTTCGGCGTCGACCACAAACGGCGTGCCCACCCCGCTCTCTCGGACCCTGACTCTCTCAGTAGCGACGACGCGCGCACGACTTGGACCGCGGCTCTGATGGCGGTGGGCGCGGCTGCGCGAGCGGTGGCGCACGGAGAGCGTGGAGGCGCCGTAGGTCGAGGAGCGGTAGTCTGCGCTGGGCCCGACGCCATTGGCGCACATGTACAGGACGTAGACGAGAAGGAGGAAGCCGGCTACGGCGCCGAGGGTGATGCCGGCCACGGCGGCGGGCTCGAGGCCGCTATTGGTGCCGCCATAGGTCGCGGGTACAATGACTTCGGGGTCAGAGTTTTGGCGGGGGAGCATGGGCGTCGAGTCGCTGGGACCGGTGCCGGCAGGGTGAGGGAGGGAAAGCTGGTCGAGGATGGAGGAGGGGATCTGGCGGAGGGCAAGATTTGGAGGCGGCATGGTGGGCGGCGAGGCTGTCAGGACACGCGCCGCGTTTCGGGATGCATGCGACGGTTTGCAATGATTTGCGACTGGTCAGGAACGCTCGGAATCGGCGATGCGATTGCGGATTTGAGTTGATTCTCCGCCTGAATGCCTCGGCGACTGTCGCAAGTCGAAATCGATGTTGCGGGCAAGGATGGCGAAGCACTAGCGATGGCTTGCGACAGAGGATGACGTTGGGCTCTTGAGCGAGAGCAAGGCAGGTAGGTTGGTGCCACAGTAAAGTGCAGCGTCGATGGTAGATTGTCGTGGCTGCTGCAGGCCGAACAAGAAATGAGTGGACAGTCAGCTAGGTGGCGCCCCTGAGCCTTGGGAGGAGATGGATGTGAGACAATAGGGTCGGAGGAGGGGGAGGAGGAGGAGGCGTCGATGGTGGGATGTATGATTGAAGGATCAAGGTGTGCGGGGGGCTTCGAAGCAAACAAAGTCATGGTTGGCAGGGCGTCGCTGTTCAGTGAGTGAGCCAGGAGCGTACATAATAGGCGGGCGGCCACTTGGGCGGGAACGAGGGGACGATCGAGGGGGGGCTGGGAAGGATCGGTGCACGGGCCCTTGCAACATGGGCAAGCGCACATGTACACTCTGGATGGTCCTTCCGTCCCAGTCTTTCCTGCCCCTGCACCTGCAAGTAATAAGCGCCCGCCACAGCAGCCGCGGGATCCACTCTACTTGATCTCAAATTGGCAATGACCCCCAGCAAAGAGTGTAAGCTGTTTCTCAGTCAATTGAGCCTCAACTCCATCCAGCCTGCAAGTCACCGCCGGTGATGGCCATCTCGCTGAACGCTGAGCCTCGCTCAGCTGCCCCGTTCTTCAATTGACTATAGATCTGTATGACGTTTCTCATGGTCGATTCTTACTGCACCAGCCCACCCCAGAGGCACACGCACATGTCACGCCAGCCCTGAGCTTCCCGTCCACCAAACAGAGGCCATGACTCTATTGCACACGAGGCCGTTGACAGGAGATATGAGTTGGGGAGGCAGAATAGGTGACGAGCAAGGCACCAAGAAGAATTGTCGTTGACGGCCCGCTGGACAGCTTTTCACATGCAATGACGAGTGCCCCAAGGTCCCAACATGGCGCCTGGAATGACATCACTGCCACCTCACACATGCCTTCCGTGCCTTCACAGTGGGGAGCTCTCTCTCTCTCTCTCTCCATAAGCTCTACCACCTGCCGCGTGTACCAAGTGAGGTAGAGGTACTTGCGCTGTCTCGTCGACGTCAATTACACGTTGGCGAGCACCATCCTGGCTTCGACTGAGTATACCTGACATGTGACGCCCTCGACTCTCATCCTTTCACATCCTCCACACCCTTCAACCCGAGACGCACTGCCTTCATTAACCCGAGAAACATCCACTGCCACACCGTCCAAACTACTCCTCTCCATCGCAGCAATGGACCACCCAGGTACGCTCCCACCATTGACCCTTGCGCAGATCTCCCGCGCCTCCCCCCCCCCCCCCTTTTCGCCTGCAACCATCATCACTAACCACCACGCCCCCTCCATGTCAGTCAAGGAAATCCGCCCTATCATCAGGTCCCTGACCCAGGGCACACCGGCCGAGCAGCAGCAGACTCTCGAAACCTACTTCACCCCCGACGCGACCTTCGCTCACCCCTTCTGCCGCGTCCCCTCCATCCCCACCTACACCTTACCCTTCCTACCCGACACGCCCGTCAACTCGCGCCTCATCATCCTGTTCATCTACCGCTGGTACCGCATCCTCTCGCCCCGCATCGACGTGGACATAAGCTCCGCCGTCCACGACCAGAAGCAGAACCTCCTCTACCTCCAGATCACCCAGGCCTTCACATTCTTCTTCCTCCCCGTCTACACCCCGCGCATCCGCCTCACCACCGTCCTCCACCTCGACCACCGCCCCGCGCCTCACGACGCCCACACCACCGGCGGCCTCCTGCCCATCCGCGCCGGCGCCGGCTCCCCCGGCCCCGAGAACGCGGCCGTCGGCGTGCCCGCCAACGGCGCCGCCGGCAAGCAGCGCTATTTCATCACGGCCCAGGAGGACCTCTACCAGACGACCGAGTGGCTCAAGTTTCTCGTCCCCTGGGTCGGCGCCCCGTTGCTGGCCGCCTGGCAGCTCTTTGCCACGCTGCTGAGCGTCGTCGGGGCCGTCTTGCTGGCGCCCGTGTCGTGGCTTGACGTCCGCAGCGGCGAGGTCAAGGGGTCAAAGGACCTCTGAGGTGACATGCTCTTCGGACCTGAAAGGCAAAGGGGGAAAACGGAGGGAGCGCTGCCTCGGTAGCCAAGACGAGTCGGTGCCAGGTGTTGCTGATTGCCACGAAGCAAGATTCCATATCAGAGAGGGAAATTAGATAGACACAATGTGCTGGCAGACACGACACATGCAACATCTCCTGTGACACTTCCAGTCAGGGCGAAACCATCGCCCCATCAGTCATCATTCATGCCAGAAAAATATACACAGGCTTCTACCTCAACGGGTATTTCCTCCTCCTTGTCGCCCTCCTTTTCCCTCAGCCTCTCCCTGACCGTATGTACTGTACACCCCGACATCCTGGCTGCACGTCCGCCTTGCTTTTCCGGTGAATCTCGCTCGCTCTCTCTCTCTCTCTCTCTCTCTCTCTCTCTCTCTCTCTCTCTCTCTCCCGCCGAAATCATCACGCACCGTTGGCGCCGTTGCCACTGCCGTTCCCGTTGGCGCCGCTCCCGTTTTGCTGACCCCCAAAGAAAAACCCATCAAATAGGTTCATTTGCTGCCCCTCGCTAAAGTCGTGATGCAGGTTGTCCCAGTTGATGCCGAATCCAAGATCGAGCTGCTGCTGGGCCATGTCGGCCCCGTTGCCCGCCGCGCCCGACGCCATGTCGCCGCCGCCGCCGCTGTTGTTGCCGCCGCCGTTGCCGGGGCCTCCCTCCATCTGCTGCAGGCTCTGGAAAAAGTCCACCATGTTCGAGTCGGGATACTCCATCTTCGTGTTGCTCGACACGCTGGGCACCGACTGATACGGCGTCGGCGCGTGATACGAGCTGTTCGTGTCCCGGCGGAGAAGAGTCGGGGACGGGACCATGGTCGGATCGTGCGAGACGTCGGAGGGACTGGCCTGGGCGCGCTGCTGGCGGGCGAGGAGGCTGAAGGGATCTGCCTCGAACGTCTTGGAGCGGGATGTCACGGGCGACTGTGTCGGTGGGAGCTCGCCCCCGACGGACAAACTCGGCGACGAGAGACCGTCAGACAACGACAGGTCCATTTGGAAGTGGGTTTGCTGGGGCCGCGAGGGCTGTCGCCGCCGCGGGCCACTTGCTGTCGATGACCCGTCGCCGCTGGCCGAGTTCCAATCCATGCGGCCTTCCTTGGTCTTACGCTGAACGACAGCGCCAAAACCACCAGTCGAGTTGGCCATCTTGATTGTTGCCTTGGCGGTGCGGTCGAAGGCGTCGCGGCACGTCTCAGCTGGCGGGCACTTGTCGGTGAGATCTGTGAAGACGGATTTGGCAGCCAAAATAGTGAAGTCAACTTCGTCCATCGTCTGGGCGCGTGTTAGAAAAGTTCGGCACCCAGAGGGCCAGCGCCGGGACTTACCAAGCGGCTCCTCACGATGGGCGAGTGCCAGATAGCGTAGAGGTACGATATTCCCGCCATGAACAAATGGTGGGTGGACAGGTAAGTATAGCTGACGAGTCCACTCAGGTGGAGCTGCCTGTAAATGCGCAAGATCTTCTGTCCTGCCTCTGCGACCTTGAGATAGATACGATCCTCGTCCTCCCACAGCTCCGCCTGAAACGCTGTCGGGCTGTTGACCTCGGTCGATGTATTGTACTCCCCTTCAAACATGGCCGGAACGCTCAAGCTCTGTCGGTAGAGCATGATGATGGCTTGCCAGTAATTGAGCTCAAGGAATTCGGTCGAGAATGCCACGCCCGTCTCTTCCCTCGTCGGCGCCGAGTTCTTCCACTGGTAGAGTCTCCGGTCGACATCAATTCTCCAGGAACGGAATGAATCGAACCTGACCAAAAAGGGCGAGGGTAGATGGGTGTGCATATCGGAGTTGGTGAAGTTTTGTCCAACTGCGCGCGCCACTTGTGTTTGGTTGTACTGCAATACTTGCAGAATTTCCGACTGGAGCAGTCGCAGCTTGAAATAATGATAGGCAACGTTCTTGTAGCTCGGCTCGGGCTGTTCGAGTGGCGGGGGTTCGAGGAAACCGGCTGGCGTGACATACTGGTCGTCGAGGAGAGAGGGGAACTCTGTCGTGATGACCTGGTCGCTGATGCCAAACGGCCTGCCAACGCATGTGCTGACGAGACGGTCGAAGGAATACGTGCACCACCAGAGCCGCCGCCTCATGTCTCGAATATAAAGCCGCCTCCCGCGCTCGCGCGCATGGCTCTCTCTTGTTTCGCGTGTCTCCTTGCTTTCGGGTTCCGAGCCGGCAGGAGGGAGGTCCGGTATCGCCGTCTCGACATCACTACCATCTTCGTAATGCAAACCCAAATCGACGGCCAGTCGCACAGCAACACCAATGATATACCTTTGCATGTTAGCTAGAACACATCACACCAAGGCAGCAGCAAAACACATACCAGAGACCTGGAGGCACCGGTCGAAGCAGGGCAAAGTTCGCCAGTAACAAAACAGCCTGCAATACCTCCAATCCGCCTCCGCTAGACCCGAGACAAGCCTCAAGATGAACGATGGCGCTCGCGTGGTATTCCTCGGGTTGAGCCTGCCCGAACTTGTTCATGTCGATCGGATTCCTCGGCCCGCCGCTACCCGACCCCTCGGACTTGACCGGCTCACCAACGATGACGCCGCATCCAATGGCAAACACCATGTTGAGCATGTACAGCTCGCGCGAGCCTTGAGGTCCACCCGGTGTGGCATATGCTTGCTCAAACATTGCCATGAATTCGGTGCGATGCAAAATGGGAATCTGCGGGTTGGCGTGCTCGAAATACAGAGTCACCAGTCTGGCACCCACTTGCTTCTCCGGGAAAGGCGCGGGTCGAATGGTAGGCTTGGTGTGCAAGCCGAAGAAGGAATCCCGCATGGTGGTGCCGCCGCTGGCACCGGCCATCGCGCCCTTGCCTCCGGCCCGGTCCGAGGTGCCATTGTGATCCGACACAGAGTACTGTACAGCGGCGAAAACGACACGGTTGAACGATACGCCAGACGCAGAGGCAAGAGAGCGGGGTTTCGAGGGGCTGACAATGTTGAGCATACCCTGGTTCGCATCCGCTTTCTTCGTCTTCTCAAGATCGGGTCGTATGGGCTGCTGGGTCTTCGTCGTCGTGCTATGGCTGTCGATGCTCTCGGAGCGGGCGGAAAAGTTGGAATCGGCGATGGATCTAGAGGGCTCGTTGCCTGGTCGTGAGCAGCGTTCCAGGTCCTCGGCGGGAGGGAACGTAACGTTGTTGGCCGTCAGCAACGTTTCGAGCTGGTCGACGCGCATCTCAAGATAGTAGACATAACTGTTGGCAGTGTGAGCATGGCGAACCGGGTGGAACTGAATGCCTCTGCATCGGCGCATACCTCCTGGGGATCTCCTTCTTGGTAATGGGGTCATAACCAACACAGGCGACGCCAGCTTTGGCGCAACTGGCGCAACTCGGGAGCTTCTGATCGCATCGGTTCTTGCGCAAGCGACATCGATTGCATGCGCTCACGTTGCGGAACGTGCTACTCTGCTGGGCAGCAGACTTGCTGCTCTTATCGCCGATAACATCGTTGAGATCGGCCGACGGGCTCTGGTCGAGGCCTCCGGACGTCGGCGACGCATCGTCGAAGGAAGACTGCCGGGCGCGTTTCGGGGGTTTAGCGGAGGGGGAGGGCGGTGAGTGGGCGGGCATGGTGAAAGCTGGGGGGGAGGCTGCGTCGCTCTCGAGACCAGCGCGCGTCATGTAAGATTGAAGTCACTATTCGGAATCTGTAGACGGGCCATTGTTAGTTGGAGGCGCAAACAAATTGACGAGCAGCAGAGGGAGGAGGGGAAAGAGAGAATGGACATGGAGAGTGTGAGAGACAACAAAGCTGGGGTACGAACAAAAAGGGCGAAAGAAGCCTATCACGACTCTATCTCGACCTCGAATTGCCCGGCGGCGGCTCCGCCCATTGTCTAGATAGGAACGTCGGCAATGGCTGGGGCTGGCTGCGGGGAGTTCGGGAATGCCAAGGAGCTGAGCTATGGCAGGGTTCCAGCGCTGCTATCGGTGCCTCTGTTCGGTGCAAGTGAGAGAGAGGCAGAGGGAACCCCGGGAGTCATTGACGGAGTCGGAGAAGGGAGAAGAAAGTCTGGGGATGGGGGTGGGAAGGTGACAGGTGCAACTTGTGGCCCGGAGAGCCCTCGACCAAGGATATTGGAATCAATTCATCCCAGGCATGCCTTGCAGGTCAGCAGGCGTGAGGGGAGAG